CTTTTATTAGTGCAGTAATTTTAGCTTTATGCATAAAATTAGTTTTAGTTTTTTAAACTGCTAATACACAGAAGCTCTAAGCACCCAACAGGCCTTTAACTCAAACAGTGTGAGTTAATAGAGTCAGAAAATTGCTGAACATTTACAGCATTTAGCAGACACCCTTATCCAGAGCAACTTACTTTTCTCTTATTTCATATAACTGGGAGTTAAGGGTCTTACTCACAGGCACAGCAGCAGCACCACTGGGATTTGAACTCACAACCTTCTGACTGTTAGGCCCATATGTTAACCACTGAGCTACTAATGCCCTGAACAGACAGAGCACACAGAATGTGGTATAGTAATAATGCACAATATTAATAAGTTAGTAATAATATACAGTGAGGTAGCATACGTAGTTATAGTATAGTGTGATATAGAATAGTATGTTATTATAGTAATACTAATATATATAATAATAATAATATTGTCAGATAGTAGTCTCGTCTCCTCTCTTCTCTTGTCTTCTGCAGAAAATTAGCTTTAGTTTTTTTAACTGCTAACTCGCAGAAGCAGTAAGCACCCAACAGGTCTTTAACTAAAATAGTCTGAGTTTACAGAATCAGAAAGTTACTCAATATTCACAGGATTTGGGAGATGTCTTTATCTTCAGTAATGTAAGTTTATCTCATTTTAAACAACAGAGCAGTTGAGATTTAAAGGCCTAGCAGAAGCAGAACAGGGATTTGAACTCGTGACCTTCTGAGTGGTAGTTCAACAGTTTAACCACTGAGCTACTACTGACTTACTACTGACCTGACCACACAACACAGACAGAATGTGGTATAGTAATAATGCATAATATTAAAAAGTTCATAATAGTATAGTGTGAGGTCGCATACTTAGTTATAGTATAGTATATCATGATGTAGAATAGTATGTGATTATACTACTACTACTACTACTACTACTAATAATAATAATAATAATAATAATAATAATAATGATGTCAGATAGCAGATTCGTCTCCTCTCTTCTCTTCTTTTCTCTTGTGTAAATCATATAGCAGCAGTGTATTACATCTGAGGCTTCCATTTCAAGTTCCAGTCAATAAAATATACAGATTTTTTATATATAATATTATAATGTCAGATAATAGTCTCTTCTCTTCTCTTCTCTTCTCTTCCCCTTTCTTTGCGTCTCTTGTCTTCTCTTGTGTAAATCATATAGCAGGGACGTATTATGTGCTGATACCTTTAAAGGAATTCCAAAAGTTATATTTTGCACGTAATCAAACTGCTAAAATTCATGTAACACAATTGACTGGAATTTGTTGGAAACAGAGAGTCAGATGTCAGTTTTGGAGTGTGATAGGAGAAAGTCAAATTTTTCACCTAAAAAATATATTCTTCTAGACAGATTAGAAAATGTTGTTGAAGTTAAGGAACCCACTTTTTCCTCTCTCAGGTCTTATCACACTGAGGGTTATCAGTTTGTGAATGTTAACAGTGACCCCTCTGTGCATGCAAAAGTAATGTTCCACAATCTTCTGGGTGTTCCACAAGCCTTTATTTTAGGCCTGCTGCTTGTTCCCTCACACATACTGCCTCTGGGTACAATTAACCGAGCCTCAGATCTCAGTTTTGAAGTGGTGTAGGATGAAATGAAGTCTGCTCCTGTACTACATTGTAGAGTAAAATTCTATAATGCCACAGTTTAGTAATAATGTTGTATGATGTATTGTGTTAGTAACAGTAGAACATGAGGTCATCATTAGAGTATCATAAGAATCCCTCTGGGTAAAATAAACAGAGCCTCAGATCTCAGCTTTGGAGTGTGAGCAGACAAAAACAAAGTGCACTCCTGTCTACAACTTGACCCCGAAACCCACTGTATGAATTTGGGGAAGATCAAAGAACATCAAATATTTCACACAAAAAAAAAAACAAATTCCCTTGGATTTTTTTAGGTGAAATTTTTGACTTTCTCTGATCTTCTTCATATTTGAACCAGTGGTTCTGACAAATTCCAGTACAAAAAATATACAGGTTTTGGAAAGACCCTAACCACATCTCAGCTTTGGAGTGTGATTGGACGAAACTAAGTGCGTTCCTGTCTATGTCTCGACCCCAGTAACCTATGGTGTGAATTTGATGAAGATCAGAGAACGTCAAATTTTTCACCCAAAAACACAAAGGCTAACCCCTTGGAGTTTTTTAGGGTGAAAATTTTCACCTTCTCCGATCTTCCTCAAAGTTTCTCCATTCGTTACTGAGACCAAGATGTAGATAGTAACGCATGTTTGGTCTGAATATCTCACTCTCACTTCAATTTCTGACAAATACCAGTCTAAAAAATATACAGGTTTTGTAAAGACCATAACCAAATCTCAGCTTTGGAGTGTGATAGGAAGAAAAGAAGTGCACTCCTGTCTATATCTTGACACCATTTGTCTATGCTGTGAATTTGATGAAGATCAGAGAACATCAAATTTTTCACCCAAAAAAACACAAAGGCTTGGAGTTTTTTAGGGTGACTTTCTCCGATCTTTCTCAAAGTTTCTCCAGTGGTCAGTGAGGTCGAGACATAGACAGGAATGTGAGTTTGGTCTGTCTATCACACTCCAAAGCTGAGATCTGAGGCTTCCATTTCCAGTTCCAGTCAATAACGTATACAAATTTTTGTATAAATAATAATAATGAATGTTGCACGTAATCAAACTTGGAGTTTTTCAGGTGAAAATTTAGACTTTCTCCAATCTTCTTAATATTCGCTCCATTGGTTACTGAGGTTGAGAAGAAAACAGGAACATGATTTTGATTTGCTTACAACACTCCAAATGAGTACGGAGATAGCGCTGGTTAAAGTAGTAAATGACTGAATACTGGCCTCTGATCAGGGGTGTGTCTACTTGCTTGTGCTGCTCCATCTCAGTGCAGCTTTAGATGCCATAGAGCACAATATTCTTCTAGACAGATTAGAAAATTGTTGAAATTAAGGAACCCACTTTTTTCTCTCTCTGATCTTATCAGACTGATGGTTATCAGTTTGTAAATGTTAATGGTGACTCCACTATGCATGCAAAAGTAATGTTCCACAATCTTCTGGGTGTTCCACAAGCCTCTGTTTTAGGCTTGTTGCTTGTTCCCTCACACATACTGCCACATATTTGCACCACTGGTTACTGAGGTCATGATGTAGACAGGAGTGCAAGTGTAGTCTGCCTTTTACACTCCAACCTGAGCTCTGAGACTTCCATTTCTGACAAATTCCAATCCAAAAAATACACAGGACAGACCCTAACCGCATCTTAGCTTTGGAGTGTGATAGGACAAAACGAAGTGCGTTCCTGTCTATGTCTTGACACCAGTTATCCACAGTGTGAATTTGGGGAAGATCAGAGAATGTCAAATTTCACCAAAAAACACAAAGGCTAACATCTTGGAGGTTTTTTTAGGGTGAAAATTTTTTACTTTCTCTGATCTTCTTCATATTTGAACCATTGGTTACTGAGGTCATGATGTAGACAGGAATGCAAGTTTAGTCTGCCTTTCACACTCCAAAGCTGAGATCTGAGACTTTCATTTCTGACAAATTCTAGTCCAAAAAATATACAAGTTTTGGAAAGACCCTAACCACATCTCAGCTTTGGAGTGAGATAGGATGAAACAGAGTGTGCTCCTGTCTATGCCTTAACACCCGTATCCCATGATGTGAATTTGGGGAAGGTCAGAGAACATCAGTATCTCTTACCTCCCCAAAAAAACCCACAAAGGCTAACCTCTTTCAGTTTATTAGGGTGAAAATTTTGACTTTCTCTGACCTTCTTCATTTTCCCTCCAATTGTTACTAAGGTCAAGACATATTAAGGAACATCAGTTTGGTCTGCCTATCACACTTACACATATATTACCATCTCCTTGTTAGATGACATGGATGGGATCCACATCTGCTACACATAGACTCTCCAACTGGGGTCCCACAAGGCTCAGTACTCGTCTTAGGTTCTCTCTATATACTTGGTCTCTTGGTGAGGTCATATCATCACATGGGTTTTCATACCACTGCTACGCAGACAACAATCAACTCATCCTCTCCTTCCCTCCCTCAGTTACCCATGTTTCTGCTCAGATCTCAGCATGTCTGGCAGATATCTCATCATGGAGGTCAGCTCATCAACCAAAACTGAACTGCTGTTCATCCCAGGTGATTCATCCACACGTCAGGATCTTGTGATCTCCCTAGACAATTCTCTGATCTCGCCTTTGGTTACTGCACGCAACCTTGGGGTAACCATGGACAATCAACTGTCCTTCTCCTCTCACATTGCTAATCTGACACGCTCATGTCAATTTCTCCTTTATAACATCAGAAGGATTCGTCCATTTCTATCCACACAGGCCACACAGGTGCTCGTTCAGTCCCTTGTCATTTCAAGACTGGACTACTGCACCTCACTCCTGGCAGGTCTGCCTCTGAGCGCCATTCGTCCTCTGCAACTGACCCAGAATGCAGCTGCACGACTGGTTTTCAATCTTCTTAAGTTCTCCCACACCACCCCATTGCTACGCTCCCTCCACTGGCTTCCTGTAGCTGCTGCATCAGATTTAAAACACTGTTGCCAAAGCCAAAAATGGACCAGCACCCACTTATCTTAAAGCACTTATCACATCCCGCACGGCACGGCAGTCTTCAAACGATGTCTAAAGATCTACATCTTCCTGAGAGTTAGGGTTAGGGTTAGTACTTAAATTAGCACTTTAAAAAAATATGTTATTTGTGTGCTTTTCTTACTATATTACCTCCCCAACAGAGTTTTTTAGATTGATAGTATTCTTAGTCCATGATGCTTTCTGATTACATAATAACTCTGGATGGCCTTTCAGTTTCATCATGTGCAGCAGTAAAAGACCTTGGTGTGATTATTGACTCCAGTCTTTCATTTGAAGCTCATGTAGATAATATAACTAGGATAGCCTTCTTTCATCTCAGAAATATTGGTAAAATAAGAAATATAATGTCTACACGATGCAGAAAAATTAGTTCATGCTTTTGTTACCTCTAGGTTGGATTATTGTAATGCCTTACTGTCTGGATGTTCCAGTAGATGCATAAACAAGCTCCAGTTAGTCCAGAATGCAGCAGCAAGAGTCCTTACTAGAACCAGAAGATATGACCACATCACCCCTATCTTATCCACACTGCATTGGCTCCCAAGTTAAAACTATAATGAATTCAGAAATGACTCTGATGTTCACACTCACATTCCTGTTTACACAACTGCACTATTTGTCCATGTAGTACACAGTTATAGAAGGGAATGATTTATAATCGCTCTATCGGGTGTCACCCAGATGAGGATGAGTTCCCTTTTGAGTCTGGTTCCTCTCCAGGTTTCTTCCTCATATCGTCTCAGGGAGTTTTTCCTCACCACCATCACCTCTGGCTCGCTCATTAGGAATAAATTTATAAATTATAAATTTATATCTGGAATTTATATAATTCTGTAAGGTGATTGTTGACAGTGTCCATTGTTAAAGGTTCTATACAAATAAAATTGAATTGACTTGAATTGAATTGAACCTCTTTATTTTATTCTTTCTTTTGTCCTACCTACTCTTTGCAGGACCACTGACACTTTTTAGGGTTGTGACTTCACACAATAACATCCTATAAATATGGGATGTAAAGATTATAAACACCTCTAAAGCTTATAAACACCTGAACTATCTTCCCTTTTTAGGGCACCTCATGACTGGATAAAAAAAACCTCAAACCAGCTATAACGTACTTCATAACACAGAC